TTTTTTTTTGTGGGATGTTACATCCACACCACTAGGTGTCAGTGAAAGTTCACCTTTAACAAAGCTAATACAAAAGTTTCTCATTGTTTATCATTTTACTTACGAGATGACCATATTTGTTTATTGCCATGCTAAACGTCGACAATCCGAAGCGGAAATCGTCGTTGTTTTTCTCAATAATTCGCATGTTGGTCTCCCAGATGATTTGTCTCTGAAGGTCATCACTCTACAGTTATAAAGTCAAACTTCATGAGAAATACTAACAAAAATACAAGGCATAACATACATACAGTATAACATAATCATCTTAATAACCACAAACTGATTAAAACTACAAAAATGTCTCAAGAGCACAACAGTGGTTCAAACCTTTCATTTATATGTTTTTAAAGGAACAATTCACCAAAAATGAAAATTCTGGATATTTTACTCTCTTTTTTTTTTACCTCATGCACTGTAAGGCCCTGATCAGACAGAGCATATTTTTCAGTTTTGAAAATGCGAGGCGCACCGCACTGCCTTTTGTTTGGTTGACTTTTTTTAATTTAGAAAAATTTTTTCATGTTGCCAGGCAACCACAGAATCAGCTGTCTTGTCAGTCTAATCAAGGATTATAGCACGAGTACTCTAAAATCTTTGGTTTGCTGATAAGTAAACTGTCATATTAGCAGAAACTTAAAAAAAAAAACAGCCCTGGGTAACAGAAGTTTCCCCTCCATCATTGCAGTCTACAGACGTTCCAAGCAACTGTAAACTTCTGTCACCACAACGGAAGGCCCGCCTCTCCATTCATTTGATTGGACAATGGAAAAAAAGGCGAATGATGTCAGACACTTTTCTGCTCAGAGTTGATTTTTTTTCAACTTTGGGCGCTCAGAGCACTTCTACAAAAACGTGAGGCGCAGCAGGCAGCTAAAACGCGAGGTGCCCGGAGCGCATAAACAGCGCACAAAATGCTTGTTATGTCATGTTATGTCTGATCGGGGCCCATTTTTTCATGTTGCCAGGCAACCACAGAATCAGCTGTCTTGTCAGTCTAATCAAGGATTATAGCACGAGTACTCTAAAATCTTTGGTTTGCTGATAAGTAAACTGTCATATTAGCAGAAACTTAAAAAAAAAAACAGCTCTGGGTAACAGAAGTTTCTCCTCCATCATTGCAGTCTCCAGACGTTCCAAGCAACTGTAAACTTCTGTCACCACAACGGAAGGCCCGCCTCTCCATTCATTTGATTGGACAATGGAAAAAAAGGCGAATGATGTCAGACACTTTTCTGCTCAGAGTTGATTTTTTTTCAACTTCGGGCGCTCAGAGCACTTCTACAAAAACGTGAGGCGCAGCAGGCAGCTAAAACGCGAGGTGCCCGGAGCGCATAAACAGCGCACAAAATGCTTGTTATGTCATGTTATGTCTGATCGGGGCCTAAAAAGTGTTTTCTTTCGTGGTAAATAAAACTTTTAGTTTTAAAAGAAGTTAATAAAAGATAATTTGAGTTTTTTTATGTGTCTTCGTAATGTTTCCTGTTGTGTTCCACTTAACAGAAACATGAATAAACGATGAACAAATTTTCATTTTTGGGTGTACTGTCCCTTTAAGACACACCCAGATTGTAATCGACCTCATCATCATAGGATATTCCATGGAGATTTTTCCACATGCCCCACTCTGAAGCGGCCTCCTCTTCTGAATCTGCTGCCACCTGCAGAGGTCCCCACATCAGGAGAGCAAACACTGCCGCTCTACCCGACAGCGCCACCCAGTGCGCTTGATACGTCCCTATACAAAACACATTAAATAAATAAAATGAGCACAATTTAGGTTACTAAATATTTAACATAAATATTTAAATGACAGGTCTTCAACCCTGTTCCTGGGGATCCACTGCCCTGCAAAGTTCCGTTCCAACTCTAATCAAACACACCTGAACCAGCTAATCGAGGTCTTCAGGATCACTTGAAAAGTGCAGGCCAGGTGTGCTGAAGCAGGTGGGAAATAAACTTTGCAGGACAGTGGGTGCCCAGGAGTAGGGTTGAAGACCTATGATTTAAATAACTGAATTTGTTTATAATATTTAAAGAAAGTCCAAAACGAAAATATGGTTATTTGCTATGAAAGTTTAAGTTCTTGTTCTGAGACTGACTCACTTTTACAAAAATAAATAAGTAAACAAATGAATAAATACAAATATTGAGCACTAAATAAATAGAGTGTTTTGGTTCAGCAATTCAGTTTAAATAAATGTTTTGATAACCTGAAAGTTTGAGTTTTGTTTTGTTTTAGTGTTTTTGATTCACTAATTTAATTGTACAAACAAACTAATGAATTTAGGTTATATTTTCGCTTCAGCAATTCAAATGAAATAAATATTTTAAACTAAATATTTCACATAGATATTCAAACAAATGAACTTGTTTATAATAGTAGGTCCAAAACAAATGTGTGGTTCTTTCCAGACTTACCGAACATGTTGCTGCACAGGCTCTGCAGGAAGTGTGAGTGTTTGGAGTGCCGTGCGGATGAAACTGAAGCATGTCTTCTGCGTTATATACCATCATGCTGAAGGTGTGTCCATACTGTTAGGACTTGCTATACGTACCATGTCATCCTGCAAGAGGAAGCCACTAATTAACAAAACTCAAAACATATAACCCTAACCAACAACTTCACCAAAAACACTGACGCTGCTGCACATGAAGCTTTCCGAAATGTTGTCCTAAGAAATCAGATGTGAGGGTTCATATGACATCTTTTCGTTTGTTATTGAATATTTAAATGAGGACTGAGTCAGCAGCGTTTGAATGCCTGACGTGTTTTGTCTGACTTGATTCTTGTTTGGAATATAATGAACGTACTACTACAGACATTATATCCATAAAGTATAGTCCAACCACAGCAAGGCCTTTATTACGGTGACTGCTGAGTCATCCGTCTTTCTTCATCTCGGTCAACAATGTGTTCTTCAGTGCTGTCATAATGCTGTCATAATTTACCCCCGTTATTACGCTTCATCCCATGATTGCCTCTGCAGCTCATATTTTGGGCCTTTTCATTATGCACAGTCTGGTACAGGTGAACAGCCTTGCAATTTGCCTTATAAAATTACTTTGGCTTAATAAATAAAAAGGTTAGGTTTTTTTCTTTTTGTACTATAGCATTTATTTTTATACAGAATGTTTTTATATTATGCATTTATATTATATTTTACACTTTAGCCTATGTTTATATTTATATTTTATTGTATGTTTATACTATAGACTATAGCCTATATTTGTAAACTCCAGTGAATAGCCTTTCGATTTTCCTTACAAAATCACTTATGAAATAAAAATAATAAATACAAAAACATTTTCTTTAAAACAGTCCATGGGCGCGACACTTTACTATAGCCTATTTTAAAAATATTTTTACACTATAGACTATTTTTCTATTCTGCTCTATCGCTATTCTATTCTATTATAGTGTGTGTTTTACATCACCAATGTTTATTAACTTAATTAGCATAATTATTTGTCTCATACATGGTCTATAATTGCTTGAGAGGTGCTTCCCCCCGAATTTAGAAGCATGGCTTGCACATTTATTTACATGACATTTACATGGCCATTCTATATTATGAATATAGTCAAAGCTAAATGGTATGACACACACAACTTTAAAAGAGAAAAAGGAAGAATTCGAGAGAATCAATAAATTAGGAATAATTTACTGCCATTTTATGAATAATATGTGATTCTGTATTCCTTAAAAAAGCAACTAATCTGATAATGAGCATTTTAGGGTGTAATATAGGCTGATCCACTTCAGAGTACTCCATTTTTGGAATCTGATTTACGTAATCCAGATTACATGTAATTATTCATTACATTACATTATTATGCCATTATACGTTGTCGCATGGAATATTACACGTTATAAACTTTTTAAGAAGGCTTATAGGTACTGTTTATTAGACTATTTGTAATATTTTTTCATTATTTATTCGTTAACTAATCATTCAGATCGGTTTTGTGAACTGGTTCAACTGATTCATAGGAAAGAATCGACTCATTAGAACTATTCGTTCACGAATCGAACACACCTACCGTGTATGTGTGTGTGTGTGTGTGTGTGTGTGTCTGATCCACTTCAGAGTACTCCATTTTTGGAATCTGATTTACGTAATCCAGATTACATGTAATTATTCATTACATTACATTATTATGCCATTATACGTTGTCGCATGGAATATTACACGTTATAAACTTTTTAAGAAGGCTTATAGGTACTGTTTATTAGACTATTCACTGTTTTATTTGTAATATTTTTTCATTATTTATTCGTTAACTAATCATTCAGATCGGTTTTGTGAACTGGTTCAACTGATTCATAGGAAAGAATCGATTCATTAGAACTATTCGTTCACGAATCGAACACACCTGTCATTTTGTTTAACATTACATATCTTACACTTTAATGTAAATGATTGTTTTAATTTATTTTTAAATTAATATTATTTTATATATCATACTTTTATACTACAGCCCAAAAAAAATTATATATAGCCTTGTGAATTTCATTAATTCCTTATGAATTACCTTTCCAAATACTCCAAATACAATGAACTTTTCCACGACATTCTAATTTATTGAGATGCACCTGTATATATATATTGGAAAGGTAATTCATATATATAAGAATATATATATATATATATATATATAATACATTAGTATATTTTATTTTAATGTAGTTTGCTATTTTAATTTTTAAAATTTTAAATGGATGTTGCACAATTCATTTGTGACAAACTTCAATGTTTTTTTTCTTTAACAACCCCTTAATGATATTTTATTAAGTGATATTACTTTGCTCATTTTGACTCTGTTGACTAAGAAGATTTATGCTGATATCGATTCAGCAGTCTTTCGAAGATATGGTAATATAAACTGCATGTTAATGTCCCCACGAGGTTATAGTGTGATCTGTCATAGAAATGATGATTGTCTGTGTTGGTGTGTTTTGTTTATGTGTCTGAAAGAAGGAGACGCCGCTTGCCAACGCTGTGTTTTGGGCAGCGAGGAAAGGAAACTTGGCCTTGCTTCAGCTGTTGTTGAACAGCGGCCGAGTGGATGCCGACTGCAAAGATGGAGTATGAGCTTCTTCTTTCCTGCATGCTTCACTGTTTGAGTGATTGTACGGCGTATAACAATGCGTTCTGTGTTTTCACAGTACGGCACCACAGCATTGATGGTGGCTTCATACAGCGGCCATTATGAGTCTGTCCGGGAACTCATCATGCAAGGTGCAGATATTAATCTGCAAAGAGAGGTACGGATGCTCTTGTGTCTGGATCATGCTTATATTGGTATTTTGATGAGATGGTTTTTTAATTGTAATTGAATTGATTATGTTTGTTTTGATTGTATTTTTGATTGTAATTTGATTTTGTTATTATTATAATTATTAATTTGTTTTGATTGTATTTTATTTAATATAATGTTATTTTAATCTTATATATTTATTTATTTTATTACATTTATTATTTTTTATTCGATTTTTATTTAATTCAATTCGATTTTTATTATATTTATAATAAAATATATTATTTATATATTGAATTCGATTTTTTTATTTATACTTTATATTTATGCACTTTTTAAATTATTATATTTATGATAAAATATATTATTTAATATAGTTAATTCGATTTTTGTATTTAAGCATTCATATATTTATGCTTTTATTTTTTATTTATTTGTTTTTATTTAATGTTAAGTTATTTGAATCTAGTTCAATGATTTTAGTTAATTTGATTTATTATTGTTTATTTTTTTTTATTTAATTAGATGTTTTTTATATTTCTTAATTTATTTTTTATTTATCATAATGTTATTTTAATCTAATATGAATTCATTTATTCATTCAACATTCATTTATTTGTTAGTTTATTTTTTTTATTTTGTTCTATTATTTATTTTATTTAATGTTTTTTTTATTACATGTATAAATTATTTTTAATTTAATGTATTATTTATCTATATCCGTCTGTCTGTCTGTCTGTCTGTTTGTTTGTTTTGTTTGGCCTTTTTATATTTTATTTTCCTCACTAGCATTTCTGTTGACATCCACCTAGCAATAAGCAGCGGTGAAAGTTATTTCTGTCTGAGCTAAATATATGTAGCTAGGGTGACAGGCTGTTAATAGCGCAGTAGTACGTGCTAATATTGCTCCTCTTAAGGGTGTGTAAGAGCTGAAGTGTGTTTGTGGACTGATGATGATGCAGATGTTGTCTCTGTTCCTCCAGACTGGTTCCACCGCCCTCTTCTTTGCTTCACAGCAGGGCCATAATGAAATTGTCAAGCTCCTGTTTGAATTTGGAGCATCCACAGAGTTTCGGACAAAGGTGCGGTATGTTTTAGCCCAAAATAAAAGAATCCTATAAATCTGATCATTCAGAACTGACTGGTTTGTGATCTCCAGGATGGCGGCACGGCGCTCTCCGCAGCCTGTCAGTATGGTCACTCCAAAGTGGTGGAGACCCTTCTGAAGAACGGTGCCAATGTCCACGACCAGCTCAATGTTAGTCAACACGTGTTCCTCCCTCTTGCTCTCTAAAAGCCTGATGCACGTTTGTGCCAGTTCCTCTAAGGTTTCTGCTGATTCAGTGTTTAGACTCTACTCTTAGGAACGGGATAAGACACAGTTTAAATTAAAACATGTCTTTGGGAGACACCAAATATTTTCAAATAATTAGGTGGAAATATTTTTTAATAATTTTTAATTCATGTAATATGTATTTATTTATTCTAATGCAATATGTATTTTTATTTATTTATTTATAATTCAATTTAGATTTAATATAATGTTATTTTAATCTAATCTAATATTTATTTGTTTGTTTATTTATGTTGTATTATTTTTACTGTTATTATGTATTCATTTATTTTTTATTTAATGTTTAATTTTGTTTATAATCTTTTCATCTAATCTAATATTTATTTAAATGTATTATTTATTCATTCATTTTATTTTTAATTCAATTTTCTATAGTTTTATATGTATTCATTTATTTTGAATGCATTCTTAATTTTTTATTTAATGTAATGCTATTTTAATCTAATGTGATTTTTAAGTTTTTTGAATTTTTATTTAATTAGATGTTTTTCTTACATTTATTAATTGATTCACAATTAATATTATATTCATTAATTTATTTTAATTTAATAACAATTTTTAAACTTAATGTAATTTAATGTAATGTTATTTTATGTATGAAAGATCACTTTTTTATATATATATATATATATTCTCTAAATACCATTTTCATGTCATTCGACCATTACATTTGACCATCTCCTCTGTGTTTCAGGATGGTGCAACGGCCTTATTTTTGGCATCCCAAGAGGGTCATGTGACTGTAATACGGCAGCTTTTGTCATCTGGGGCTAAAGTCAATCAACCCCGAGAGGTCTGCTTTATATTCATGGCTTGTGCATTGTAGTTTGGTTTTGGTTAGTAGTGTTTGGTTTGCTGTTATGTATTTTTGTTCTCCATGTTGATTCTGTTTTTTTGGGTCAGGATGGCACAGCTCCGCTCTGGATGGCAGCCCAGATGGGACAAAGCGAGGTGGTGAAAGTTCTGCTGCTACGAGGCGCAGACCGTGATGCAGATAGAAAAGTATGTTTACAATTTTTACATTTATTTTATTTCAATTTCCAATAGCTTCATATTTTTACCCAGATATTTTATTTGACTTTATTTCATTTTATTATTTTTGTTTAGTTATTTTAAATGTGATTTTATTTTATTACTGTTTGATTATTTAATTAATTCATTGTTGTTTATTCATTATTTAATTCCAGTTTCTTTTCCTTTTTTTTCTTTTCTATTCTGTTCTGTTCTGTTCCTCATATCTCTTCGTATTCTACCCTGGCTTGAATCAAACTCTTCAGCCAGGTAGAAAAGAAGCTTATTAAAAATGCATGAAATGTTTGACAAATGCCTCATTTATTCTATTATCTCGGTGCGTGAGTCTCTCATGTTTCTGGCTGAAGGACGGCTCCACGGCTCTGTTCAAGGCTGCACATAAAGGCCACTGTAACGTCATCGAGGAGCTCCTCAAGTTCTCCCCTTCATTCGGCCTTCTGAAGGTACGACCGTATCATCTGACGTCCAAAAAGTGGTGCGATTGTGACTATGTGTGTTTTATCATGCAATCTAGAACGGTTCTACAGCTCTTCATGCTGCTGTCATGGGTGGGGATCTAAAAACAGTTGAACTCTTGCTGAAGGCAAATGCTGATCCAGCTTTACCCAACAAGGTAAATTTGAGACATGGATTATAGCATATTAATCCACACCATATATGCGTTTTTTTATATGCATGTATTATTTTTATTTTAAAATTTTATTTTTTAATGCATTTATTATTTTTTTTATTTTATTTTATTTATTTATTCTTTATTTATTTAAATTGTTCAAAACAACCCCAATATATAACAATTACTGATTTGCATCAATAAATGACACAATTATTATTTCTAAACTTGAGCAACTTGTCTCCTCAGTCCCCAGACGTTTGCAGACTGTTATAAAAAGAAGAGGGGATGCCACACAGTGGTAAACATGGCCTTGTCCCAACTTTTTTGAGATGTGTTGATGCCATGAAATTTAAAATCAACTTATTTTTCCCTTAAAATGATACATTTTCTCAGTTTAAACATTTGATATGTCATCTATGTTGTATTCTGAATAAAATATTGAAATTTGAAACTTCCACATTGCATTCTGTTTTTATTCACAATTTGTACAGTGTCCCAACTTTTTTGGAATCGGGTTTGTATATATATGAATCTTATTTATTTGTGTAAATTGTTATTATCCACAATATTTTCTCCATTTGAAAGATTAATATATTAGTTATCTTTTATTATTATCTTTTATATTTAATTAATTGTTTTTGTATTTTTTTTATTATTATCATTATTATGTTTAAATTATGTTTAAATACTATTTAAATATGATTAAATATACATTTATATAAATTATATATATTGCATGAATATTAATTTACATGGACAACTTGCAAAATGATTTCTTCTTTCTATTTATTTTGTGTGTGTGTGTGTGTGTGTGTGTGTGTGTGATATATACAATAATTGTGCAATTTGTCCACGCAAATGACCATAGGAAAGATCATTTTATCATAGGTAAAAAAATGTATTGTCTAAAATTTGTACAAAAAATAGTTGCTTGATGTCCCTGTCAGTGTTTTCTTGTTCATATCTTGCACTGCCATCTACTGACCAGTGAGCGTTTAGGTATAATGAATGCACTGCAGGCAAATAGCTCAAAATATGATAAATGCTGCAGGAATCGAATTCACTTCACTTCATAGCAGATCATAAAAGCACATGATAACCTGGTGTGTTAATGTCACTTTTGCAGCACGTTCTGATGGTATCACGTTCTCTCTGCAGAACAATGAACTGCCAGAGGATCTGACGAAGAACGAGCGCATCCTGCGAGTCCTCCGTCTGGCCCTGCTGAACGCAGCGAGTTGATGACTGCTGGGTTTGCTCTTAGCTCTCTGCTGTCTTTGTTTTTGAGTTGATGAAAAATGAATGCACTACATCCTCCTGAGAGAGGAGAAATCAGAGCTTTCCTGTCTCGTACAGCCGATGTTATAATGGTGCTTGCTTGCTACAACACAAATGCACTGAAAAGCAGAATTGCTTATTCTTCATCTTGGAAATGTTATGATATAATGTAATGTCATTCCCTTTTTTTTTCTTTCTTAAGCATTTATTACATTTGTATATTTTGTAAGGAGCAGCTTATGCTTTTTGTTTAAAAATTGTTTTATAAAATGAATAATTTATTTATTTAAGTAGTGTCTTGTAGCCTGCAAATATATTTGAATTAATAGCATGTTTTCATCAAAAGAGCTCATGAATCAGTGTTTATGCCATACGACTGCTCAAACAAAGAAAGGAAAACGTCACAACACAATAAAAAATAGTCACAACACAATAAAAAAAAAAGCTCAATACTTATTTGATCAAATATGACTCTTGGCTCTTTGAGGAGTAGTTGTTCTTGACATATTTCTTTTCTGCTTAAATGGAATGTGGACTTTATTTTCTTTAGAAAAGTTTCAATCTTGGCGCTTACGTGTTCTTAACATTTCATTTAGCATTTTGTCTGTGAATGAAGTGTGTTAAACTGTATATTTGTCAAAACAATAAATGTAGACGAAAATGCTGCTTTTTAAATGTCTTGCATTTAATGAAAGATTCATGAAAATCATTACAAGATTTTCATATTGCTTGAACAATATTTAATTTGACTTATTTGTATTTATTTATAAACTGTACCTCTTGGCTCTTTCATGTGTTTTTTTCTTGCCATATTTATTTTCCGCTGAAATGCATTTTGGACTTTATATTTTCTTCAGTAGCCTAAATATCAAAATCTTGGTTCTTAAATATTTGTTTTTATAACATTTTATCTAGCACTTTGTCTGTGTATGAAGTGTGGTAAACTGTTTATTTTTCAAAACAATAAATGTAGACGTATTTTTTACGTATTTTATGAGGGAATTAAATATTTTAAAATAGATTTATTTGATTGCTTAAAACGTGAATGAATATTTGATTGTATTCTGCATTTCATTATTATTGTCATTTAAAAAAAACATTTCACATTTTTTTTATTTGAAACATTACTGTCACCATATTTGACATTCATTGTTTCAGTAAACTCGAAATGTTCCTGTTGAAATGGTTGGCGCGTCGCAGTGGGCGTGTCCGATGCGCCGGAAAGGTGTGGCTCAGCGCTCGTCACCCGTGACGTCGCTGTAAACACTCAACGCGGAAGTCGCATAGATTTACCGACGCTTCGAGATTCTGCTACACATTCGTTTAATAAAAATGTATAGATTTGAATTGTTCCAGCAGTAACACATTATAAGTTCACCTTCAACACTCCGTCAACAATGACGAATGTCAATTTACAGGTAAGAGACTTTACAAGTGGTATGACTGCCATAATAATGGACCTTTTCATGTATTAAGTGTATTAATTATGATTTGTTGTCATTTTTCTGCTCTATTTAAACGTATGTTTTGACAACATACAGTCTAAAATGTAACTATATTGTTGAGTTTTAGAATATATGTATTGTTTAACCGGTAAACATTCATTTGTTCGTTATGTTTAGGTGGCTTGTTTATTTTTTTTGATACATACATAAATGTAAGAAAGTGCTTCTTAACTTATTTGGTACATTGTAAAGTTTTTTAGCTCCTGTGTGTATTCATCAGTCTGTGCTTAAACTGGTCTGACCAGTTATCCGTACATTACACCACACTATAACATAATCTTATACAACACAGATTTCATTTGAATTCCAGATTTGAAACATTTGATCTATATATGGGTTTGTGTAACTACAGACAATATTATATTTGATTGTTTTATTGTTGCCTTAGACTTTTTAAATATCACTTGTGTACAGAATCATTTTATTTGATTTCCAGTTATTTTTATTTATGTTATTCCCAAAGGGTGAAATATTGTACAAAATTCAAATAGACTTGGCAAGAAAAAAATGCTGTTTCTTTTTCCTTTTTGAATGTCTCATCTTTACTTGTGCGCAACAGAAAGCCATTGATTTGGCCAGCAGAGCCTCTGAGGAGGACAAGGCCAAAAACTACGAGGAAGCCCTGCGCCTCTATCAGCATGCAATCCAGTATTTTCTTCATGTGGTGAAATGTAAGAAGCCAAAAGCTACTATTTATAAACTTCACTTAGATTTGACATGTCATTTTTAAATATATTTAGATTTTATTTTAGTTTTTTTGATATTGAAACATTCTATATTTATTTAAAAATGTTTTAAAAAAAGAAATATATAATTATAAATTATTAATACATCAATAGATATGATATAATAGAATTTAATAAAACATTACTTGTTTTAATATTCACATATTACATATATATATATATATATATATATATATATATATATAATATTGTACTTTTTATGTAATTGTATTATTTAAATGATCCCATATGTAGTCTTATGATATATATATATATATATATATATAAAATATTGTGTTTTATTTAATTTTATTAACATGGATAGACAGATGAATTGTTATTATAATTTTATATATTGAGTATATTTTAAATTTTTCTTAAATTTATTTGATCCCTTATTAAATGCAATTTAGCGAGCAAAAAAATTCTTAATAGTGGCACTTTTTAATGTTTTATGGTCCAGGTGGTTATAATAAATTATTTTATAATATTATGGGGGTTTTTTTATATGTATGTATTTATTGTATTTCATATTGTAAATGTATTTGATTCATCATTAAATGCATTTTATTGTGGGGAAAAAAAATCTATGAAAAAATAATAGCACGTTTTGATGTTTTATGGTACAGATAAGTGGAGTTTATTTATAATATTATTTAAATGTAAAATAATATTTAAATGATTGTTATAAATAGATTATTTTATAGATTTTACATTTTATTTATATATTTATTTAATTTATTTGTATACTGCGTACTGTATTTCATATCTTACATTTATTCAGTGCCTATTTAAAAATGCAAAGCAAAACATCCATGACCTAATGATGGCATGTGTTTTATTATTATTGTGATGCTTTACGGTGCAGATGAAGCTCAGGGGGAAAAGTCCAAGCAGAGCATCAGAGCCAAGTGTGCCGAGTATCTGGACCGAGCGGAGCAGCTCAAGCAGTACCTGAAGAAGAAAGAGAGCGCGCCGCCCTCCAAACCTGTCAAAGTTCCCCAGTCTGACGATAAAGGGTGAGAGGATCTACTTCCTGCTCAATCGGCTGATCCACTTCCTGTTACATGGAGTAAATAAAATGTCAAATTTCATCTTGTACAGGACTGACAGTGATGACGGCGATGCAGACAAAAAGAAATTCCAAACTCAACTCCAAAGTACAGCATTTTGTGTTAAAAACACACTTTATTAAACTATCTAAAAGAGAAGAAACATGGATTTTCATGCTTTCCAGGTGCTATTGTTATGGAGAGACCCAACATTAAGTGGGACGATGTTGCTGGTTTGGAAGGAGCCAAAGAGGCCCTCAAAGAAGCGGTCATCCTGCCAATCAAATTCCCTCATCTTTTCACTGGTATGATGGGTTTCATGAATTAAAATATCTGAAAATGTCTTTCTGAACTGCGCTGAAGCTCATCATTATGGACAGGGAAACGCACTCCGTGGAGAGGGATTCTGCTCTTTGGTCCTCCAGGAACGGGAAAGTCTTACCTGGCTAAAGCAGTGGCTACTGAGGCCAACAACTCCACCTTCTTCTCCATCTCTTCATCAGACCTGGTGTCCAAGTGGCTGGGAGAGAGCGAGAAGTAAGTGCTCTTCAGATGTCAAGAGGGAAATATATTAATATTGTTTAGAAGTTTATGTCACATTTGAGTCTCGTTGTTCTCAATGTGTTTGTTGGCACTGCTTCTGTTATTATCTGTTAGGTTAGTGAAGAATCTGTTCAGTTTGGCTCGAGAGCACAAGCCTTCAATCATCTTCATTGATGAGATCGACTCCATGTGCGGCTCCAGAAACGAGAACGAGAGCGAAGCGGCCCGCAGGATCAAGACAGAGTTTCTGGTCCAGATGCAAGGTAAACGCAGAGCTAGCGTTAGCTTTGTCGCAACAGCAAATCTGTCAGTGTCTGAGTCTCATTTGGCAGGTTCTTATGTAGGTTCAATTTCCCATTTAGTTTTAATTGTTCAGAAATTTTTTATATGTTTTGTTTATAAATTATTTATTTATTTGATATATAATATTATCCATCCATCTATCCTTCCTCCAAACCACTTATCCTCTTTTGAGTTGCTGAAACCTATATAATGTTATAATATAATATTTTATAACATATCTATTTTTTATTATATTGAAGTTTTTTCATTGCTTTTTCAGACCAACATTTATTGTTATACATGCTATACAATTACTGTGAATGAATAATTAATAATCTTTTCCAGATAATATTTTAATAATTTATTTAGACTTTAATGCAGTGACTTATATACAGGTGCATCTCAAGAAATTAGAATGTCGTGGGAAAGTTCATTTATTTCAGTAATTCAACTCAAATTGTGAAACTCGTGTATTAAATAAATTCAAGGCACACAGACTGACTTAGTTTAAGTCTTTGGTTCTTTTAATTGTTATGATTTTGGCTCACATTTAACAAAAACCCACCAGTTCACTATCTCAACAAATTAGAATATGGTGACATGCCAATCAGCTAATCAACTCAAAACACCTGCAAAGGTTTCCTGAGCCTTCAAAATGTTCTCTCAGTTTGGTTCACTAGGCTACACAATCATGGGGAAGACTGCTGATCTGACAGTTGTCCAGAAGACAATCATTGACACCCTTCACAAGGAGCGTAAGCCACAAACATTCATTGCCAAAGAAGCTGGCTGTTCACAGAGTGCTGTATCCAAGCATGTTAACAGAAAGTTGAGTGGAAGGAAAAAGTGTGGAAGAAAAAGATGCACAACCAACCGAGAGAACCGCAGCCTTATGAGGATTGTCAAGCAAAATCGATTCAAGAATTTGAGTGAACTTCA